GATCTGAATGTGCAGCATTTCCTGTTAATTAATGGCTTCTTTTGAGGTTATTAAGTTAGACTGGGTAGGTGTGTGGCCTTTCTTTCTACTGCCCTTCCAATTAACAGGCACTTTGCTTGGTAAATGTTAATTTAGAGTAATTGGGCGTGCAGATGAGGGCATGCAGGGGGGGAACAATGCTCCCTTCACTGTAGGTTAATTGCTACTAAGTGTTGTTCCTGCAGCCCTGGTCCCCAGTGATTAACGGCCTGGGAGTCCAGGCTGAAATCCCTGGGGGTCCGCAGAGGCTTAACCCCTCACTGACCGAGATGAGAGCAGGTCTTTCTGGGTTTGTAAACAAGGCCTGTGCCATGCTTCTCACCTGTGAGGAACTGACCCTCAGATCTCTTGCCACTGGTCTGTTCCAAAAGTCAGCTCTCTGTGAAGACGTGTTGGCAAATTGCAGCAATGAGGACGCACCTAGAGATTATCACACTACAGGAAGGAAGTCAGACAGAGAGAAATACGTGATATCACTTGCATACAGAAAAACATGAACTTATTTACAAAGCAGAAGCAGATTCACAGACATAGACAACAAACATGGTTACCAAAGGTGAAGGGAGGGGTTATTAGCTATAATTGCCATGCTGTACACTAGGTCCCCAAAGTTGTCAATCGTAATGGGAGGTTATATCCTTTGTCCAGTATTTCCCCACAGCCCAGCCCCTTAACAACCATTCTATTGTGTTTCCATTGGTTTGGCTTTTTTAGATCACATTTACATGGTGTATATATGAAATACATATTATACAGAACTTGTCTTTTTCTGCCTGCCTTATTTCACTTAGCATAATGCCCTCAAGCTTCATCCAAGCTGTTGCAAATAGCAACAGGATTTTCTTCTGTTCTCACGGTTGAGTAATACTCCATTGTATTAGTGTGTGTGTGTGTGTACATGAAGAGCTTGAAAAGGCAAAGAGATAGGACACTGAAAGATGAACTCCCCAGGTCGGTAGGTGCCCTATATGCTACTGGAGAAATAACTCCAGAAAGAATGAATATTCAGAGCCAAAACAAAAACAACACCCACTTGTAGATGTGACTGGTGATGGAAGTGAAGTCCAATGCTGTAAAGAGGATTATCGCATAGGAACCTGGAATGTTAGAGCCATGAACCAAGGCAAATTGGAAGTGGTCAAACAGGAGATGGCAAGAGTGAACGTTGACATTTTAGGAATCAGTGAACAAAAATGGACTGGAATGGGTGAATTTAACTCAGATGACCATTATATCTACCACTGTGGCCAGGAATCCCTTAGAAGAAATGGAGTAGCCACCATAGTAAACAAGAGAGTCTGAAATGCAGGACTTGGATGCATCTCAAAAACGACAGGATGATCTCTGTCCGTTTCCAAGGCAACCATTCAATATCAGAGTAATCCAAGTCTATGCCCCGACCAGTAATGCAGAAGAAGCTGAAGTTGAATGGCTCTGTGAAGACCTACAAGATTTTTAGAACTAACACCCATAAAAGGTCTTTTTCATTATAGGGGACTGGAATACAAAAGAAGGAAGTCAAGAGATATCTGGAGTAACAGGCAAATTTTGCCTTGGAGTACAAAATGAAGCAAGGCAAAGGCTAACAGGGTTTTGCCAAGAGAATGCACTGGTCATAGCAAACACCCTCTTCCAACAACACAAGAGAAGACTCTACACACTGACATCACCAGATGGTCAACACTGAAAATCAGTTTGATTATATTCTTTGCAGCCAAAGATGGAGAAGCTCTATACAGTCAGCAAAAACAAGACTGGGAGCTGACTGTGGCTCAGATCATGAA